CTGATCATATCACGGCCCCCTAATGCCAAGGACACTGCTTCTGATTGATTACAGTTAAGGCTGTTTTTCATGGGTTCTGTTGGTTTTTCCTAAAAACCTGTCAGATAGCAGGTTTAGGATTGTTAAGGGTGGGATTATCGAGTCACGACTGTATTTACAACGAGTTTGTGCTGCTGAAACACTCACTAAACTAACTGAAAAAAGTAAGAACAACTGAATCCAAAATGTCTCTTCAAGAAGTTTGCTAAACATTACAGACATTTTGGCTCCATAAGGAAAACTGCATTAGTTTTATATTAAATCGTACTATCAACTTGGTACGCTGCATATAACTAAATCCACTAAATATTAAAAACACATATCACACGCTTTGTACGAGCTATTTTAATTCTATTCTAAGAGTGACCAGCGATGTCCTGCTCCGTCTACACCCCTGATCCTCCCACTCCACACCTCTTGTGTGTGGAAATGTAGCTGTCTGTCAAGGTGTCACTTCCTCCACTCCAACCAATGACAGATGACAGTGTTTATCTCAGAGGAAGGGCACATATTTCAGGCAGCGGTGTCTGATTCTGCAGACAGACATATTATACATGATAGACAGCTGTGGAGGGCGAGGCGGAGCGACACGCTGGCTGCTTTCTGAAGGGAAACTAAAGCAATCCAGCTGGTCGACAGCCAATTTACCTCAACATACTGGTGTCCTAAAGTATGCTGCTGTCACCACAAAATGGATCATGGCCCGCGTCCAGAGGATACTATCGCAGCAGTGGCGGAGTCACGTTCTTGGTAATACTAAATCACTAAAAGATGGACCCTTGCTGTGGAGTTTATTAACCAAAAGCAGAGACGTGACCAAAAAAAATGGCCACATCCGATCAGAAAGGAGAGGGAGCTGCAACCTCCAAGACTTTTATGAATGTTGATGCACTTAAAACTCTAACTATGAAATGATTACCTGGTTCCTGGACATGTATTTTGCTTTCAGGTTCAGCTGCTGTGACAAACACATACCAGGAATCAATCAAGACATCTGGTGTACAATGTGTTTAATGGCACAAAGCTTGAACTGAAATGGAGTTTTTGATGGAAGTATCTCAGTGAGCAGAGGTGATTTTTCCATTTCTCTTGGTTTTTGTCATTTTACAGCAATATTGAGTCGTGGTTAGAAAGCAGGAACCGGCCTCGCCTCAAAACTAGAATAAAAAAGCTCAGAAATGTTGATATGTAATGGAGAAATGCTGCTTAAACAATGAGTACTGCCTTTTTGTATAAGCTGCAATAAGCTTTATCGTTTTATCAATTCCACATTGCCACTTAATGTGTTATTTCCTGCTCTATCTTTCCCTTTGTTTCCAATCAATGGACAGGAGTTTAATGGTGATCTGTAAGCTATGTTGCTGCTTCACTGACAATGAAAAAGAAGACAATACAGACAGGTGACAAATGAAAGGTAAAACCTGAACTCCTTGAGGCCTACAGTGAGGATCTGGTGGTTCTGTTACGTTGAGGGGGTTCATTTGCTGGCATCACAGCATATAAACACAAGGTTGTTTTGTGTGATCATTATCGTGGATTAATCGTAGCAACTGGACTTGCTTGAGTTCCTTGAAGACGTTCCACCTCTCGTCCAAGAGGCTTCATCAGCTCTGACTGACTAGTTGGGAGTTCCACATACTGATATCCTGAAGGAGCCATTAACACCTGAGTTTGGGTTTCTATTGGGGGTTTGCATAACGAGGGGGAGGAGCAACAAGAAATTGAAGAAAACAAGGTGGTCTGATCATTTTTTCCACCAAGAAGTTTCTGGTGGCAGTGGTAACATACAACATAATTGAAACTACTGGTGCAATTAATGACTTCGTAGCAAAAGGGCTGTTTTGAGGAAGTAGTAGAAAAGACAAATGCTCCCATCATCCCTTCACTGCATATGAAAAGTGAACAAATGCATGATAATCGTTTGACAAAGTACGATATGTAATGTGGAGGTCGCTTCAGCAGCTGAAACAAGTGCGTCTAACAGCTCTGCAGTAGGATTGATTAACATGATAAAGTAGAAATCATGTGTGTTCACTTTGTTTCAAACAGAGATCCAACTTCAGCTCTCATATGAAAAACACCTTTCATTTTAAAGCCCATCACTGCCATCTTGCTCTGTTCTTGCATCTCTGTGCATTATTTCTGCCTTCACCGTCTCTCTTTCCCTGGTGGAAGATTCAACGAAGAAAAGGGTTTTTGCATTTCGATAATGAGGTATTGATCGAAGCCTTAAATCTACGTGTCCAGTGATATGATCATCAGCGCCAGGGTGCAGAAGCTGTGAAGGTTTCATAAATGCATGTAATGTGTCTTTATGAGCCTTTAAGGTCACATCTCTGCCTGGCTGCGCTTCACCAACTGTTGATTGATTAAACCGGCAGCCTCAGCAGGCAGCAGGATGGATAGATAGATGTACGGCATGAAGGAAGGGAAAAGTTCTGAACTGAGCCAGACTGTATATCAACCTTATTTAAGTGGACTCAGCACTTCGCTCAGATGTATATCGCACTACTGTGGCAATTACTTCTCATAGTTCCACCTTGCTGTAGCACTTTAGTATGTTACTCCACAAACATAAAGGAAACTGAAGAAAAACCAAGCCCAACGAGTGACACAGACGACCTGTTTAACTGCAGTATTGCATTTTTGTTTCAAAAAATGTTGGCAAGCAATGTTTTATTCTGCTCGACCGGTGCTCATGCTGAAGGTCTCATTTGCATTTAAGCGATACAACTGCAATTTAGTGTAATTAAAATGACCTGAACACAACTGAAGCATCCACTTAAGTTACATAATCCACGAGAAGATTTAGAAAGGTTTGTAATTCTAAATGAGTTTAAAGGCTGCTTGTAACTCAAAGGTTGCTGTTGGGCAGCTCACAATAAGGTTTCTCAAGTCAGAGGTTTCCTCAAGCGACACGCTTCTTAAAGCACATGTATGAGGAAGTTCTCTGTCACAGTTCTCTGTTCCCTCAAGATTTTCAGATACAGGATTCTTCTTGTGTGCTAAACCTGGGTTTTCTTATTTTCTAACAAAACTAAAATTGTGATTTTTTGTTTTTTAAATACAGTCGTGACTCGATAATCCGACCCCTGACAATCCAAAACCTGCTATCTGACAGGTTTTTAGAAAAAAAAGGAACAGAACCCATAAAAACAGCCTTAACATCTGACTCAAATCAGGATGACGGCGTATTATCTGACTGAACAATCCCACAGATTGGCTACGTTCACACTGCAGGACTTGATGCTCAGTGAGGATTTCTTTGTGACTTCCTTCACGTTTCCAGTTCAATGCGACTTGTATGTGATCTGCTGTGTGAACTTCATACGAGCCAAAAGTGTCCCGCATGCGCAGAAGAGGACACGACGACGTCACACGCAGCGAGCGTGCTCAGTGTTTATGGAAGTAAACATGGATGGTAACGGTGGAGCGTATCTGCCATTATGTTCAAAAACCATGAAACTGGACTTTGGATGATATGGCCCCCTTTCATGCAACATGGAGATGCAATGTTGAAAGATCACGTCTTTGTGCTAGCTCATGCAAACCAGCAACGTTTTCCCCTACAAAACCATATGAGGTCATATTTCAGTCTGGATCAAGCTGGCAGATGTCTTGACCAACAGGCAGACAAACCAACCAACAGCATCGGCACAAAATCGAAGCTTGTCATGGCATCACTTTTAGCAAGCAGCCTTACCTCAGCATGAGATTCATTAGCTGAAGCCCCTCTCCTCTGAGAAAGCGGTCCCGATTGGTAGGAAGCATGAGGCAGGAGCACAGACCGTCGAACAAGTTCTCCATCATTTCCTGTTCTTCAGCTGTGGACGGGTTGTGACGTTTGAACACCTGAGAGGGAGGGCAGGAAGAGAAAACACTGAGTGAGGATGTGTTTAGGGAGCATGCAATGGCAGCAGAGCGTTGATCAAAAAGTTCTGAGACTGTTTGTGGTGCAGTGCACGCATCACGTCGCTGTCATGGATCAGCTTGTTGCGTGACATCAGGACCTTTGTTAAGCACATTTTTGTGACCGCTGGTAGGCGTACGCTTCAGCTCCACTCAACTCGGACGATTCAACCCTCATGTGTAAGACTAACTCTGGAGATGAGAGGTAGGTCTGCAGCTACCAGGAGGAGAAGAAACAGTCTTTACAGTGGAAGAGCCACTGTTTCCAAAACCAGACAAGGCAAGCCAGGAGCACGCTCGTCTTCTTCAGCATTCATATGGTTGTGTACTGTGCATTCGTCTCCAGGGTCAGACTGTGCAGACAGTTTGACTGACTGAGGGATCATATTTGGTGCCAACAACTGTTCTTTTGCCCCAGTCACAGTGTAGTGACCATGCACAGGATTTTTTGGCCACAACAACAGTCACCGCTCTCCACCTGCCCTACTATCCAGATGTGACCCCCTGTGACTTATAAAAACCACATTAGCTTATCTTCTATCACGTGGATGCCCTGTTCTGGAAAATTCTGAAATATGGGGGTAATATTAGCTTAGCGTTGGACCGACAAGCGTTGCCTAATTTAAGTCTTGGGTGTGGAAAAGCTCAATGATTAAGCTTTGCCCCTGTGTGCTTCAGGAGGCTGGTGGTGAGTGTGAAGGGTAGTGGGTAGCGCTGACTAAAAATAGACTATATAAAGAGCTTACAGATAGTTGCTGCAGTAACACATCAATGCCATCCATCTCCCCCAGTAGCTCCCTGGTACCTGTGGAAGACAGAAACACAGAGAGAGGACGATTCAGAGACAAAAATGGAGCACAATATTGACATGGCTGCAAGAAAATGATCCTTAGGGAGCAGTAAGGCAGACATAAAACATCCATCTGTTATCGATGCACCGCTTCATCCTCACTAGGGTCATGGGGGGCTGGAGTCTATCCCAGCTGACTCAGGGTGAAGGCAGGTTCACCTGGACAGGTAACCAGTCTATCACAGGGCTACACTTAGAGACAGACAACCAAGCACACTCACATTCACACCTACGGACAATTTACAATCACCAATTAACCTCAGCATGTTTCTGGACTGTGGGAGGAAGCCGGAGAACCCGGAGAGAACCCACGCTGCACGGGGAGAACATGGAGACTCCACGCAGAAAGATCCCGGGTGTCCTCACCGGGACGCCAACCGGCGACCTTCTAGCTGCGAGGCGACGGTGCTAACCACCGAGGTATGGGGGCATTATTGTAGCGTCCGAAGTGAGATTTGTGATGCGAACAGGAATCTACAAAAGTCGTCTCACAACTTGTCTGTAATACTGCTCTACTGCTCTGAACCTAAGTAGTCATCAGGCGGCGCTACGCATCAGAGTCTCTGAGCGTGTGTGACATTGTTAGCGAGGTATAGGGCAGGAGAACAGTAGCAGCCTCGATGAACGATCCTGTGAGCCTGAGCTCAGGGAACAGAAACCCCCCATGTTAGATGCTCTTCAGTTTCAGGTTCTCTCATTGCAGGAGTGCAGCAAAGTCATGAGTGAAAAGACAACCAATGGTGAAGCCACTCGACTCGTAACTGGTGATTTGTCTGGGTTTCCAGCACTTGTATTAAAATACGTAGACGTTTCAACTCCGAATACCTCTGTACGCATTGACAGCTCTTAGTACGCGACGAGCAGATTTTTTACACATTTGAAAACCTGATTACAGACAAATTCTGTTTTTATAACAAACAGTCCTGTTTTCCACCACTGTGGTGATGCTGGTGGGACACAGTTGGACCGGATTTCAACAGTTTGTGCAGAACTTCTGTGTGTCCCTGGACTCATTCCAACACATCTGTGATCGGACCATAGACGTCCTGGTGAAAAACGACACAAATCACCACTTGTGTGTCCCATCCATCGGTCTCGGTGGCCACGATAACCCGCCCCCAGCCCCTGATGTGCTCGGTTCTTAGCTCTGGCCCAGCAAAGAGTTGGTGCCTGAAAAGCACCAGTTCTGAGAACCTGGTGGTGGAAACAAAGAACTGGTGCTAAGTCAGGCACCAGCTCCAAACCAGCACTGGAACCAGTTTGGTGAAAAAAAATACTGGCATGACTAACGGCCATATTTACCAACAACAACAACACTCTGTGCTTTGTTATTCTGTACAGGTGGTGTTTACAGCAGCAGAAATTAATTTGGAAAATGTCAGGGCCTTGATTAACAGTATGCATCTTCTCTTACATTAACTTCCACAATAGGAAGTAGTAATTAGATGCAATTTTGTAATTCGCCTTTTTGTTATTTCAAACCAGCGACTTAAAATATGGGACATTACGTGAGAAAGCATTTCCTCTGGAGCAAAACAGCATTTTTCAGATTTAGATTGTGTTTTATGTTTGAAAGGCAGGAGCGTGAAGATGAATGGAGGGGAGTGTGTGTAAAATGTGACACAACACCCACTGAATATCAATGTGGCTCGCACCAATAATAAGAACCCGTCAGAGGACTTGATCGCCCGGTGGTTATCTGAGAATTTTACCTTGTTTGTAATAAGGGAGGCGACAGGAGAGAAAAAAAAAAAAAAACAGCAAACATACAAGGAGATATAGAAGGTAGCACAAAATCCAAATGTGACAAAGTAAAATGAGAGATTAAAAAAAAGAAGACATGACAGAGAGGAAGGTAAAAGGAGGAAAGAATGAACATGTGAAAGGAAGGACAGTGACAAATAGAAAGAGCGTAGAAGGACACGATAAGGTAAGGCTGGGTAGCAAAAGAGAAAAGGACGGGATGAAAAGAGAGACATGTGGAAAAACTCATATCATTTAGAACCTGCAGAGCATTTACTGAGACACACTTACTGTCATTGTTTTGCAGCAGGATGGCCAGAATCTCACTGCAGTACAGCTTGTTCGCATCAAACGGCATCTTCGCCTGAGAGGGAGCAAAAAAACAAAAAATAAAAAATCCTTATCGCCGCTTGTCTCCAGAAACTGTTCTCCAGAGAATTTAGAAAAACACCACGTATGTTCCCAGAAAATCTGCATTTTTTATTTTTAACCTTGAGCTCAGATTCTGCCTTGTATGTTGTATGAATTAGCCACAGCATTATTAAACACACTTACAGTCACGTTTATTCATTCAGAACAACACAACCGAGTGAAAATACAGAAATTAATGAGTTTTAGAAGAACATAACTGAACACTGTGTGGGATTAGTTGTATTTTCATTAAAGTTTGGTCGACACGGTTTCAGAAAACGCATAAAAATGCCAAACACAGCTTCTCAAAGGCCGAGGCAGTGACGTAAAAAACATTTTGTTTTGTCTGACCAAACTAAAAACTAAAGATATTCAATTCAATATATTATTAAGAAAGTAAAAAGCAGCACATTTTCATATCTGAGAAGCTTAAATGAGAGCAGGTCCAAATGTTTTACCTTAAAGCACATTGCATTGACCTTTATGGGTTTAGGATTTTATTTTTGAGGTACACTACAATATGTTCATTTGCTTTACTGTTCAAAAAACATGTTCTTTTTCTCATAATACACATCTTCTGACTTTCAGTTTTAGCTCCTGTCAAGTTAAGACCCGCCTCCAAAAAGCCAAGTCTGCTCTGATTGGTCAGCTGGCCCGACTAAGGCAGGGTTATGCTGGTTCTGTACCATGACCCCCAGATGTATGAGTGTCTGTAGCAGCTTTCACATGCACAAAAAAACTAAAGTATATTGTGGGCTCTATAAATATTGAATTGGACAATTAATTAATTCTTTAAAAAGCCAATTAATTTCCTATCAATCAGATCAATTAAGTGACTAATTGATTCAAGTTTAAAAATGGCATTAGACAATAAATACTTTGCCAAGTTCTCAGGGTTCCTACTCTTTCCTTGAAATTATTTTCCAGGACCTTTCCAGGACCTCTTTCAGCCGCTACAGACACAAGTTATCACGTCATACACTAGAACATTCCCCTGTTTGCCTCATTCTCTGGAAGTGTTTTCTATAGTTGTCGCTTGCATTTACCCCGATTGCTTCCATTTTTGTTCCTCAGACATTTGATGTGCAGTCTGTGGCTATAATTTATCTATGAAAAATAATTATGACATCATAGAATAATGCAAACACACCCACAGATTACAGCGTGATAATTAACACGACAAATTGGAGTTGGGAGGACAAATCATTTTCCAGGACAACGTAACCGTTTCCAGGACTTTTTCTCATTTTCCAGGTTTTCTAGGAGGCGTGGGAATCCCTGGTTCTTACCTTGATCCTCTTGAGCAGCCACTGCATGAGTCCCTGTTGGGCTGCCTCGGTGCACAGGCCCGGTCTGAACTCCGCCATGTTTTCTATGATGGCTGAAGAAGACACACAATGTCAAGAGTCAGAATTAACCGTTTATGTACCCTGCTACCCTTAAGCAACGTTTTGAAAAGATCAAATAAGTTGGGCTGCACCGATTTGACAAGTCAGATCAATATCAAAACTGATCTTATGAGGCGGATGTAAATTTATTTTTTCTCTTGATGTCTCTATCAGAGCAAACTGAAGAAGAGGGCTGGAGAAAGAGAAAGAGGAGGCTGTGGGATGGTCATGAAAGGAGGGTGGGGAGGAAAGACTAGGAGGAGAGAGAGGGGAGAGGAAGAGCAGAAGGGAGGAAAAAGGGGTGGGAAGACAAGCCAGAGATGAAGCATGGACAGCTGAGGGAATGAGGGACCTCAGAAAGGAGTAAATGAGAAGATAACAGGAGCACAAAAGGAGTCTAAAAATACCCCCGTTGTGTTGGGTTGAGCAATGTGGAGGATAAAAAAAAATTCAGAAACAAACAACAGCAACATCTGGAGCGAGGGGCTGCACATGATAAAGAAATGATAGAGTTGGAATGGAAGGAGTGTGAAGGAGGGAGAGGAAAAGGCCTTTATCAGTGGTTCAAACAGAGCAGACAGACAGAGTCCTGGAGGACAGCAGGCTCAGAGCAGAGAGCAGCCAAGGCAGACAAAAGGCTTATTCAAGCTCGGAGAGTTCCCTTGGTAACTCACACACACAGCCGTGAACAGAGGATGCACAAGCGCCGCTCCCTCGATATAACCCTCACACACAGAGCCAAATACACACACCTCAACAGGCCTCCTGACACTCGGCCTCAATCTGGCAACAAAGAAAATATCATCTCAGAAGACTCATTTAACACAAAAAGAGCTGAGAGGCAGGAAGTCTGACTCATGTGAGGCTAAATGCAGAGACCAGGACCGACTGTGTGCTGGTCCGTGCCCTCTCCAGGACCTTGTCTACATCTATGCTGTCAAATAAAAAGCCACAAACACTCATTCTCTCTTTGTGGCTTTAATGGCACACTTTGGGAAGGAGTAAAACTTCTAAAGAGTGTTTCGAAACATCTAAATGAGAC